CTCCATATTTAAACACTCACATACTCATGAATCTGGAACTAGAGCAAACACTCTTTACTACAGTCTGACTGCATGTAATGTATATGCTGTACAGCAGATGGCTTACACACAGAGGACAGATCTTGCAAACACTAAAGGCACGCCTTGCCTTTCAACAGATGTAACTGTCCAGCATAAAAGTGAACACTCTACTTGAACACGTTCTCCTTTGGTTTACACTCCAGTTATCACTACTTATTGGATGTCCTCATGTGTCATTGCAACTAAGGGTTCAATAAAAGTGCAGAAAAAACTTTGGAAATACAACATATCACTCTGTATTTTTGTAGTAGTGATAGCTTTCACTACTACGGGCAGCACGGTGGCATGGTGATTAGCACTGTTGCTGCACAGCAAGACGGTCCTGAGTTCAATTCCACCATCAGGCCGGGGTTTTTCTGTGTGGAGTTTGCATGTTCTCCCTGTGTTTGCGTGGGTTCCTTCAGGTACTCCGGCTTCCTCCCACCGTCCAAAGACATGCAGTTTGTGGGGGTAGGTTAATTGATTAATCCAAATTGCCCACAGGTGTGAGTGTGAGCGCAAATGGTTGTCTGTCTCTGTGTGTTAGCCCTGTGACAGACTGGCGATCTGTCCAGGGCGTACCCCGCCTCTCGCCCTATGACAGCTGGGATAGGCTCCAGCGCGACCCTGAAAAGGATAAGCGGAAGTTTTCAGTGACAGAAGTTTATAAACCTTTCAGCAGCCCAGCGTCACAACAAATTCATTGTTAAATTGCGCTGATCAGGTTTTGGTTAAAATAAGAATTTTGTCTGAGTTAACAGCTATGGGATTGATTGTTATGAACTGCTGTACAGATGTGTATCATCACCAGTCAATGAATCCTGCTCATTTGTGGGAGCCTCTGACTTTTCATTTAGTCCAGTCATGTCATTTGATATGCTGTGTGTCAACTACGTGACTCTGGTGTTCAGGTGTAATTTCACTTTTTGTATTATTTAGCTGCTAAGTCTTGGTGAAGTTAACGTCATGCTTACAATGCATATCTTTTGCCTCTAGTATCATATTAAACGAACATTTTAAACATATAACATTAGTGGCAATTCTAATGCTGTTATTGTAAGCTGGAGAGCATCTACGTCCCCATTGTCCTTTATCCCTCATTAACCATCAGAGAGCAACTTGGGGTTAGTGTTTTGCCCAAGGATATTTGGGAGCGGCCAGGGATTGAAGACCAATCTGCCAATTAGTAGATGACCTGCTCCACATCCTGAGTACAGCCACCCCATCCACCCAATAACCCTACAATAATATAGGGAAAGCACCAAGAATCAGATGACACCCCCCTGCAATTGAGCAACTTTTGCAACAGTGAGAAGGAAAAAGTCAATTTTAACAGGAAGAAAATGCCAACACAACCAGGCTCAGGGAGGAGCGGCCGTCTGCTGTGACCTGTTGAGGGTGAGGGAGAGGAAATGCTGAGTGGTGTATAAACACATAGTGAGTGAAAATAAGTAAGAAGAGAGGCAGAGAGTTCCACAGAAGAGAGCCTCCAGTTCTACTTTTAAATACCGGTTGGGGAGAGAGAAGGAAGACTGGATGAAAGACATGCTGTGGAAGAGAGCCAGAGATAATAATAACAATAATAATAATAATAATAATAACAAGTATGATTCAATGCAGAGAGGTCTATTAACAGCATGCTGTAATCTCTAATAAAATATTATGGTTAACAGTATCAACTGCTACATTGAGGAGAAGCAGGACAAGCACATAGATGAGCCCACTGTCAGAGTCCGTCTGCTGAAATGAACTCAGAAGGATCAATAGAAAAAAAGGAGTCTAAAAAAAAAGAATAGTACTAAAGGTAGCTGTAGAAAATGTTACATCTGTGAGGGTATTATTAATAATTATTTGCCTAATGGTAAAAAAAATTTTATTTGTAAATAAATTCATGAAGTCATTACTAGTAGTTGTTTCTATCTAATGGGACAATGATCCCATTGCGGTTCATTGCAAAGTATCCATTGTTTTCAAGGTCCTATATTCCTAAGGTTCTGCCCCAATGTCCTATGTGCCCATTGTCCTGTGTTTCCAGGTTCCCATCCCTATTGTTTCTCTGTTTTTGAGGTTCTATGTACCCAATGTCCTATTCCAAAAATGTATGTTCCCAGGATCACATCACAAGGTCCCATGGTTCTGTGTTTATAAGTTTCTATCTTCCCATTATCCGTTGTTTTAAAAGAACTTTCTCAGTGTCCCTGCTATCCTATATTACCAGGATTCTATCCCAATGTTTTATGTTTTGAGAGCCATGTCCCATGGTCTCTTGGTCCTATGTTTCCAATTCCAACGCAATGTTGCAAAGGTCCCATGATATTCCCATCACCCTAACCCCACAACCACGAACCCTGGAAACACAGATTAAGCTACCGTTGACTTTCTTCCATGTTTAAATTTTACTCCACACTGGTTCCAAAAACAGCTTAAAAGAGATCACCAATGAAAGCTGCAGGATACTCTCAGCCTTTGTACCATTCAGGATTACAGTTAATCAGCTAACATGAAAAAAGAAATCTCTCTTTGAAAGTTTACTTTTTCTTTTTTTTCTTATCAACTGAAGTAAGTGGTTAAGACGACGTTGACTTTACCGCACTGAGCGGCATCAGCCTGAAGGTCTATATGTGCTCATCAAAGATAAGCTGTATTAATATTAGTTCTTTATTAGCAGAGTTTGGCCTGTTGGAGCTTCCTGTGGTTCAGGTCGTCACACTTCCTTTACTTTCCCCTCCATCTCAGTTGGAGACATTCCTCCCAACTGTCTTTTTATCATGGCTGAATACAGAGGAACGAATGTGCTAACTTATTCAAAATCAGTTTTCCGTCTGACACACAGTCCAAAGCACTGAGACGAAAATTGTGAAAATCAAAGTATTTTACATCACTTTGCAGCACTTTACAACAACATATGCACATATTCATACATGGAGACATACAAATGGGAAAGCTGCCAACTGAATTTGTGCTTAATCAAAACTGCTCTTCATTTTTACACTCGCACGCTGAAGACATTTCTCGCTGAAATTGGCTGCCAAGCTAACTTGAAAAACACTTAGGGCTCTGTAAGTGTGTTTGTGCTCTGAGTCACTGATCTCTGTGCTTCTTAAACTGATTTCTCCTCATCTATAATTCAGCACTTCTCTCCCCCCTCCTCGCCACTTCTCTGTAAGGCATCCTCTTCTTCATCACATTTCTCACTGCAGGGTTTTCTCCTCTCCTCTTGGCTCGCTGCTTGTTTTGTTCTTTGCTGAGCGGCAAATCGTGCGTATTCTATAAAGCTAATGACAGGCAGATCGTCTGAAACGAAGAGATAGCACTGTCGCAGGAAATGGAGGCGGGATTGTGGCGTGTTGTGTGCAAAGATCATCTGTGTCATTTGGGTTGACAGCTCTGGATGCAAACAGCAGGGGGGGAAGTCATATATTTTCCTTTTACTGCCCCTAACAACCAAACAAAGTTGAAAATCATATTGCACCACCATAGTTACACCAGAGATGATTCTAAAAGGTCTTTTACGATAATAGAAAAAGATTTTGGGTTTCAGTAAAGATATTTTCTAGCATTCTCTCCACATTTTTATATTGAGGAACATTATTCTCAAATTGTTCCACAAATTGTAGTTGCAAGTTTTTGCAGATTGGTGAATCTCAGCCCATCTTCATTTCTCAGAAACTCTGCCTCCCTAAGATGTTCTTTTATATCCAATCATGTTACTGACCTGTTGCCGTTTAACCTAAATTCTGTTCCTTCAGCTTTTCTTTGTAGCGTCACTCATTTTCCCAGCCTTTTGTTGGCCCGTCCCAATTTTTTGAGACATGTTGCTGCCATCAAATTCAAAATGACCTCATTTTTAAAAATCTTTGTCAGTTTAAACCAGTCAGTTTTCTAGGTTCTATCATTAATGAAATGTGTGTTATTAGATTTGATAAAGATTGCACCCTGTTTTTTATCTACATTTTACACAGCAATCCAACTTTTGTGGAATTGTGATTGTACACGGAGAGGGGCATTTTAATTTCTTGCATGATGAGGTAGATAAGTCCTTAACTCCCACCTCAACAGCCTACTCATGATTTGACATATTGCAAAAGAAACATTGATTCCTTCTTTGAAAAAGACTGCAGATGAAAAAAGAAATGCCATTAAAAGAAGCCTTCAAAAAATTGTTTTCCCCTTCAATTCAATTCAATTCAATTCAATTTTATTTATATAGCACCAAATCACAACAACAGTCACCTCAAAGCGCTTTATATTGTAAGGTAGACCCTACATTAATACATACAGAGAAAAACCCAACAATCAAATGACCACCTATGAGCAAGCACTTTGGCGACAGTGACAAGGAAAAACTCCCTTTTAACAGGAAGAAACCTCCGGCAGAACCAGGCTCAGGGAGGAGCGGCCGTCTGCTGCGACCGGTTGGGGAGAGAGAAGGAAGACAGGATGAAAGACATGCTGTGGGAGAGAGCCAGAGATAATAATAACAATAATAATAATAATGACAAGTATGATTCAATGCAGAGAGGTCTATTAACATATAGTGAGTGAGAAAGGTGACTGAAGAAGAAAAACTCAATGCATCATGGGAATCCCCCAGCAGCCTACTGTTAGGGTGCCTGGGTCGTTGACCCAGAGTTTAGAGTTTTCATTATTATTGTACTTTGGTTTTTGCCTTTATTTATCATTTCTAGTCTTTTGGTTTCTTTGTCAGAGTTGTGCCTTCTGATTTCTCTTCTGTTCCATAGTTGCTGAATCCCTGTGACAAGTCTGCGTCTCTGTGTTATGTTTCCTGTTTTACTTTGAAAGTTAATGTTAATGTGTCTCGTTTTGCTTCGTTTGTCTCGTCAGCCCTGATTTGTCCCAGCTGTGTTTCCCTCCTGTCTCTCATTCCCTGATTGCTCCCTCTGTATTTTTTAAGCCCTGTGTTTCTTTGTGTCTATGTTGTGATCTCCCTTATCCACCATCATATATGCTGTGTGTTCTGGCTGCATGTGTAAGTTATTTGGATTCTTAGTTTTCTTCTGTTTAAGATCAGCATTTGAGTTTATGTTTGTCTCCGGATTCTGCAATTTGGGTCCTTTTCCTGCCTGCACGCAGCCATTTCATAACACCTACGCCTATTGCAGCATAACTAAGGGAGGATTCACCTACAAACCAGCAAATGTTTTGCAATTTTTTTTTTTTTTTTAACATATCAGAGAAAGCACAGGTCACGTATGTCGACTGTGAAATTTAAAGGGAACAACGGCGCTTTAATTCCACTCATCACAAGCCAAAATATGTGCTGTAAAACAATTTAAACATTTTTTAAAAATTTCTTCTTCCCTTTTTTTTTTTTTTTTTTTTTTAAAAATCCTGTAAAATGATTAATTGTATGTGAGTTTTGGTAGCTAAAACCTGACCACTCAGTTGCAAGATGTTTAAGAATAAGCAAACACCACTGTCACAATATTTCAAAGAGATTTGGATCTGGCCTTTAACCTCATTATTCTTCCTTTTGAGCCATTTCTTCTTCGTTGTGCTTGTTCAAAAGTCCAGTCAGATGGACTTTCTCATCATTTTCGAGCACAATTTGATAAAATGTAGAATTCCTAGTTGCACTTTTGACTGCTAGAACATTTCTACCACCATTCCTTTGAGTTGGCACGAGGTTTTAATAAAATGCTCTGCTGCAAGCACATCAAGTGCCATTCTGTCAATAGAGTTGTTACCATTTACTTGTGTTTACAAGTCTTGGCTATCTTATCTTTTCTGGATGCTTTAGGGTTGATGTAATGGTCTTGTTACTTGAGTCTCCTGTGAAGTTACTGGTGACTTCAGGTTTATAATTAGGTGTGTGTGTGTGTGTGTGTGTGTGTGTGTGTGTGTGTGTGTGTGTGTGTGTGTGTCCATTTCATCAGTCTCATTTCTGTTGTATTTTGTGTTTCAAAGTTAGTCTTATGGTCCTGTGTAGTTGTATCTCACTTCCATTACTGCATTACTGCTGCTCATCCCAAACAGCTGATGGCCTCTCTTTCTAGAGCCTGGTTCTACTTTGTTCTATTTGTCCTGTTAAAAGGGAGTTTTTTCCTTCCCACTATCGCCGAGTGCTTGCACATTGTTTTTCATCTGATTTGGGGGTCTTCTCTCACTTATTGTCGGGTCTTTACCTCACAATATACCATTGTGATTTGGTGCTATATGATTTGAACTGAAACAATACACACAGCAGACTATGACATAGGGTTAAGGTTGACTGCATTTTGTTTACTTGTGTTGTCTTTGGCTAATATTTAAATGTGTTTGATATAAAACATTTAAGTGTGACAAACATACAAAATAATCGGAAATGATGAAGGGGTCAACACTTTCACACACCACTGTATGTATTTGGATACAGCATTTCCTCTTGATACATGCTTTCTTCCTGGAGGGATACAATATTCCAGCAAAATGTTCAAATATCTTAACATTTTTCACAAACAACAGCTTTCCCATGAAATCAAACCACGGTCACTTTAAATGGCTACTTCATCTACCTAAGAGTCTCTCGGCAGGATGTACAAAAAAGGAGCGTTTTCCTTTTCTAAGCTTGTTCCCCCCCCCAGGATCTCATCAATCGTTACACTGCAGGTGATAAACTCCTGCCTTATTCTTCACCTCATCATCACGAAGCTTTTCATCAAGACAGACACAGTGAATCAGTTTTTTGGTGAAAAAGATCTCTCCTGCGTCTACATCCCATTCTGGCTTGCCCCTCAATATGTCCTGCTTTAGTGATTTGTTTTCCTTCCACTCGGTGAGGTCTCGTGATGCGATGGCCTCCCTCCAGAGGAATATTTCAGCAAGATCCTGCTGCTCAGAACACTGCTGCCCACACAAACACATTCCAGTCACTTGATGGACCAGACACACATACAGTGTCTCCTCTACCCTTAACCTCTCTTTACACTCTCTGTGTGTCACTGCAGAGCTTAACTAGCACACCGTTTGTGTGTGCTTGCTCATGCTGGGATTTGTTGTTTGTACTCTAGTGACCTAGATTTTTTTTTTTTTTCTCTCCTTCAAACTTCCACTCTGAAGTTCAACAAACTAAAATTTTATATACAGAAAAATCATTCATACAAAAATATTCACAAGCTAGCTGTGTATACAGACTTTAACTTGCATTAAAAATAAATGAGCCTTCTCTCAGAAATCCAAGAATTGTTTCATCATCGCATTACTGATATTGGACGAGCTGTACCTTATTGTGTCACTCAGCCGTGATCATATATTTTTGATCTTTGGCGTGTTGGTTAGTTCATTTTTCCGGGCGTCAACTCTAATTTTTCATTTCAGTCTAATTGTTCTCATCAGCATCACTGGCAGCTGCGTGTAGAAGCAGCAAGGAGCTGTTTTCAAGCAGCAGCTTTGAAAATGTGCTGTATGCATACCTATGCAGGTGAAAACAGCACGCACACAAAGTTTTGGGACTGTAAGTTGTTTTTTAATGTCCGCTTTCTCTCTGTAGTCTATTTGTAGTCATTGTAGTATTGATCAATGAACTTTGAGCATGCTTTGAATGCCAAAGTGCTTCTCGAAACCATCAGCTGTCATCTTATGAGGACTGACCTCAAACCCAATTGGTATCCAAATATGTAGTTCTTTACTTTTTGCTTTTGTTTTTAAAATTGCTCTCCCAATTTCAAAAGTTTACCTGACTTCAAAACGATCCTAATGTTTTCATTATGATCAGAAAATATGTAAGTAACTGTTACCACATTTAGAGAATATATTATTGCCCTCCATGAATCAGCTGAAGCCTATCTCAGCTACCATAGCTGAGCCTGGACAGGATGTCAGTGTAATGCAGGGCTTTCATTAATTGATTGGTTGATCAAATGGTAAAGAACTTGTATTTGACTATTAATTTACATGCATCCTTTTATATGTACTATTCAGTATTTGGCATTTGCAAATGCAGATCTTATACCAGAGAAACTGTGAGGCCAAAATCCTTGTTATAGACTTTATTGTAAAGCTGACACCACCTATAGCTTGTGAAACTTTGCCTATCTGGAATTCTGGCATGAAACTTAAAAGCAACTGAACTCTATCCCTAAATAGTTCCCTGGTGCAGGTTTTTTCCACTGAGGTAAAAGTGGTGCCTTGTGAAAATCATAACTGTGTTTTAATTAACAGCTGAAAAGCAAAGAGAACTAATTGTCCTTCACATCTCAATAAGCTCCCACTGTGGCTGTTACTATTGCTCACAGCTGCTCTTAGTGTCAGAGCAGAGCAAGACATCTCGAGATGAGCACAGCTCTGCCACTTAATCCACTCATGAAGGGCAGCAGAGCTGAACAACCAAAGAAGGAATCAGTGGGAAAAGAGAAATGTTTGATTCTCATTCAGAAAACTGTTTATTTTTATCAGATAAGTGGGAATCACGCTTATCCACAGTTTATTAGAGGAGTTCCAGGTAGAAAGAAAAGGGATAGCAGTTTATTTACAAGACAACTGTGAAGAGTATTGCTTTTAAAGTGTTTTTACTCATAAGTGACACTTCTCCGTCCCTTGCAGAGAGACCGCCCAGCAGTCTCTCCAGATCTACAACCACTCTGCAGTCCAGGTGAGTGGTACTTATACGATTTAAAGTTGCATCCTGTGACGTATCGCTGCACTTGTGTAACCCCCGAGTGGAGGCTCCTTCTGTGTTATAGTGTTGAGGTGATGTCCCGCCATTCTCTCTGAGGCTTTTAGCCTCTGTTGCAGCTCCTGTGCCTGCTGCTCAGCCTTGCGTGCAGCTTTGCGGGCGTTCCTCAAGGAACGCTTCACCTTGCGAACTCGCTCCTTCAGCTGCCGGTTCCTCCTTTCCGCTGCAGCCAACCGCTCCTGCAGCTTCCGGCCTCGTTCCTCCTCCTCAAACAGTGCAGCCTGCACCGAGGAGCACAGCAGCTGGGGGTAAGGAGGAAAGAAAGTGATGTTAGTTAGCATACGTGAAGGCTTGTTGTCTTAAGTGTCTGACAAACTGTTGTAGACTTCCAGCTGCTATCTCGTCAGCTAGATGTGTAGAGTGGGAGCTCTACATGTCGTGTGTGTGTGTGTTTTCTCTCCTGTGCATGTTGTTTATCCTGTAACAAGCCTAACATGCTAAGCAGGAAGTCTTATTTACTTTTCTATAGGCTTCTACTCCCATTTCAAAAACACATGTGTGTTTGGGTACCTGTGTAATATAAATGTACTATTGACCTCTCATCCCTATGCAAGGGTCACATGTTTTGATGTTTCTGGGACCCTAATGTTGCACGTTCTTGATGGAAGAGAGCTGACCTGAACCGACAGGGTTCACAAAGGTGACAGCTGTTGACGTCCCAGTGGGAATGTATCGTTTGGTTTCCTCGGTTTATGGGCGCACTTTATCACAAGTAACATATACAAACTCAAAAATATTGTGAACTAAAAGTATGTACTGTACATTCACTATTTGTCTCACTCTGCATACATACTCAGATGACCACAGTCGAGGTTAAGGCCAAGCCCCTGTTCTTTTAGCTTGCTGTTTTGTACTGTGGTACCAAGGATCGCAAAAATGGACACTCGTATGGTTTTGGCATATAATGCAGTTTGTTTTAGTGCCATTTGTTTTGGAAAACAATTGCTGAAAAATTGTCTTAAACTATGTTAAAGAAATACTGAGAAGACATTACTGTTGTGTCTGTTAGCTAAAACTGGAGGGACTTTAGCTTAGTGCTTAGCTTAGACTAAAGACTACAAACTGAAGAAGCCTCTTAGTGTAAGCCTCCTCAGAAATGGTATTAGTAGGAGGGTGGTCATGTTTACCAAGGTGTGGCATTCCCTCTTCTTTTAACAATGGTCCATAAAAGTCTGGGAACAGAGAAGACCAGTTATTGGACGTTTAGGTCTATTTGTATTTACATTTTATATGGCATACTACCTTTCTTGGAATTAGTTTTGCAATACAATACACCCAAATAAAACAAAAAAAAAACCCCCTTTACATTAAACTTCATTTTAAAGTCTAAATAGTTCATACTGAGACTGATGAAGATAATCTCACGAGGACAATGTTACCCGGCCATATGGTGATACTGCACTGTATGCACAGACTACAAGATCATGTTGTTTGTAGTGCAAGCAAGCAATAAAATTCCATTTACCTTTTTATCAGTGTAAAGGTAGAAACCCATGTGAATAAAACCAAATCCCTCTGCATGGATACAATCCACCAGGGAGAGAAAATATTTCATGCATTTGTTCCTATTCAGTAAGACTGAAGTCAAATTCATATTTTTTTTTCTTTTTTTTAAACAGTTTGAAGCCTTGCCTTTTCAGTTCTCTTAGGAAATTTCACAGTGGGATGCATCAAGCACACACGGACACACAAACGCACACCAACTGTCAAAACATCCGGGTCACACCTGCCTGCTGTTTAGCATCATCTGTATAAACAGTATTTAGAGGACATGTGACGACAACTGAATGCACAAAGGTCCACAGTGAAGAAAGACAGAACACAGAAACATTCAAGTTCTTCAGTATCCAAAAGTCAGTAAAGGGAGGCAAGAAACTATGGGGATGTCGTCTTAGTTTGTTCAAAACTCTATTTATTTAACAATTAACATTTACAGCAACTGTGGTCTAAAATGGCTACAATGACTGATCGCCCTATGTTGCAGTTTCCTTCAGGTCGGGTCACATGTGACCCTTCAGGTCCTTGAAACCTTTCAGTCTGTTCTGCTTCAGTCTGACATTTTGGCTCATCAGTGCAGGTACCACATCTTAACAGTGATGTCATAATGAAACATTGCCTGACTGGAAATAACATGAAGTCAGAGATTTCTTAACATGGTGGATATATTTTGGTAGTTCGGTTTATAATTATCTTATGTGCCGTTATTAGAACGCATCCATGCAAGCTTTTGTAAACTTCAATGAACGGATCAGATTTTTAAATCTGTGTGAGAGCTTACTTGACTGAAGGACACACTGGTGTTTGTCATTAGATTCTGATCGATCCCGTCTCGGTGTTAGATCTTTTGTCATGAGTAATTAGTGCTGCCGGGCTGCAAAACACTAATGGACTTACCCTGCTTCTGTCTGATGCTGAAGGTATGCAATAAACTCTGAAGAAAGACTTCTGCAAATAGCTGAAAGCAACAAAGTAGTTCTTACTCTGATCACAGTCATCACTGAAAAGTCTGACCTGTCAGTGACTCTGTCTTCATCGCAATAATGATTTTTTTTTTTTTTTTTTTTTGTGAAGTTGCGTTTGCTGAACATTCTGTCTGTAACATATTTGCAACAGTGAAGCAGGTGAAGGTGTTTGGTAACTCTGGATAAACAATTTGAAAAAAATGTGGTGCTCAGACTTTGTCCTGTGTTTAACATGTATGGCTGTAGGTTTTGGGGGTTTATAACTCATAACTGCTGCAAATGTAGGAAGGTCAGAGAAATTAAATCAGCCATGCAAACCTCATGACAGCAAGTTTAATGTCACTGTAATGCTTTGCACTGTGACACCACAGGCCATCCAGTCCAGTTCTAGCAATGCTAAACTTGCTTTTAGAACATTTTGCTCTGGAGCAAACTTGAGGAATTTATGTAAACTTTTTTTTTTTATTAAACTCATTTGTTTGAGTAAAAGAAAAAGACACAATGTCAAATATGGAAGCAAAAGTGGAAAAGAAAACACAAAAAAACCCAAAGGCTGTAATCATGTTTGAAAGAATTTAGAGGTGTTTTTGTTTGCGCCCAGCTTGACCTGACTCCTCATTCATTTCTGCAGACTTTTTGATTTCTCTCCCTAACTTTATGTAGAATCTCAGCAGGAGTCCACACAATTACACAGACAACACACATGGCCAGACACCTTTACACACAGTGGCTTTAGAGCTCCACTGCTGGCGTTAAAGAGCCAAGCCAGGGTTTCTCCTCTCCTTGTGCAGATTTTATATTGTCTGTGCGTGCGTGGGAAGGGAAAGCTAGAAAATGGAAAGAAAAAGTGATGAAGAGACAAAAGGAACAAAGAAGAGACGGAGAGCAGAAAAGAAATAAAGGTGGTGAAGAGGTGCTCCATAGGGTGGCATTTCTCCTCGGCTTCTGCACTTTTCTCCTTTATTTCTGTAAAACACAGTCTGATAATGTATTTTTTATGAGCTTTAGTGTCTAACTCTTGAGTGAAACAGGCACTCCCTTTTACCCCTCTGTAAGCACGTACATAAAATGTTAATGAGAGTCAGGAAACTTGTTAAAGGGGTTTGCATGAGGGTTCAAAATTCTGCCTTCCCTTACCGTGGGTACAATCAACCAGTTCTGTATGCATACACAGTAAAAATGTGCTGTATATGGAAGTGATTAGGAAGTGTTCGAGCCATCTGCCTGCCTTCTTGTGACCTATCAAAGAACTCCTATGATATGTATGTATTATATCTGTATTAGACCCACAGGAGTGTCTGACCTGGCTTGTGGTAAAAGCAGCTCTGAGCACTACTGATAAGATGAGCCTTTGAACAAAAGCTAATTGAAGGTTTTGGCAGGAAAAGTGCAGTGAAGGAAGTCTCCTGTCTATCCTTCTGGCGGGGCATCTGGTTCCCACAAAGCTGAAATCAGAAGCAAACCTCCTCCCAGCTCTGATTTTAGGGATTTTTTTTTTTTTTTTTTTTTTTTGTCTTTAAATGCAGCTGAAGGATGAAAGCACAGAGTGATGCAAGAAGGGAAGCTAACTTTAGATAATAAAAGTATTAATAGGCTTGGTTCTTGGCTGTTAGATTAAAGAAGGATAAAAAGAGAAAGAAGAGAGATTTCTTTCCCCATTTTTTTTACGTCTCCATATACATTCCCAAACAAAACACCTGTTTTGTCCTGCCTTGCCTAAAGGTTATTGTAGAGGAGCACGTGAATCCTCCTCTACAATAACAGCACCTTTAACCCCTTTTTGCCTGAACTATGACCCCTTAATTCAGAGGCTAGATCCTGTAGTTTAAACCAGAACAGAAACAGAAAAGAAGGCACTACAACACCACACTTTGCAGCCCTTTAACAGTTAAATTCTTGCTCTTAAATAATGCTGTGGCTAAATTAGCTGTGAGATTATTTAAAGCTGAAGAGGTAAATCAGCTGTGAATGCTGCAGGCAGTAGAGAAAAAGTCAGCCAGGAATGAGGCACAACATCCTTCAGAGTGTTAAGATGATGATAACGAGTGCAATAAATGGATACAAGTGTATGAAAAAGATCCACGTAATGCTCCACGGTCCACCGGATGTATTAAATGATTGTAATAGAGACGCTGTCTGTAAATCGCACTGACTTTAAAGGGGATCTATTGTGCTTATTTTCATCTCCATTATTTCCAAATCATGCAAGGAAAACAAAACCCACACCCAAAACACTGAGACAAAAAAAATCAGTTATGATATGAAGGAAGACTTGAAGCGAATGAGCACATCAAGTGCATATCAGTGTCACCTTTGCCAAAGAGTGAAGTGTCACCATAAATTGTGTTTTAATTGATCATCTTTATCCCTTCAAGAAGCATCCTGAAGGATGTTTTTTCTTCCAGGGTGTGATGTTGCCTTCATCCACAGGGCACCAGGTTTGCTGTGCTCTTCATCATCATTAAAACACCAAAGTGAGGGCCTCTTCTTTGGTGTGTCACAAAAACTATTCAGCAACCACTCAGCTGTACCTTTTCAAAATAAACGCAAAGACGTGTCGTAAATTTGTCTCCAGCTGCCGTGTCCTGTCTTGTTTGAGGTGCGAGCTTGAATCAGTCAGAGCAGATGTGATAATGAA